ACAGACCTCCTTATCTTAAAACATTCCAAGCCCAAGCTTCATATCTTTAACCAATTACAAGCCAAAGAATCTTTAAACCCACCTATACTAACCTGTAAGCCCCCCCCACCCCACCCCACTTGGAGTTGGCCCACCTTTTCAGGCCAAACCAAAGTATGCCTTCCATGTATTGATTTATGACTTTACCCGTAACCCCTCCTTGAAATGTATAAAACCAAACCTTAACCCAACCACAGCGAGTCCACTTGCTCAAGACTTCTTGGGCATGGCTCTGGGTCATGGTCCTCAAATTGGGCTCAGAATAAATCTCTTTAAAATTATTTTACACAGTTCAGCTTCTTTTCCGTCACAACATACCCTCGAATTTTCAATGTAAGTAGCAGCCCATACACAATGTCATAATTATTTTTAAATATATAAAGAAAACTTCAACTTAATGAAAAAATGAGAAATGGTTGGTTATATTTTAATATGACATGGTATTTCTAATGTCTTCTAAAACTAAATTATTTAATGAAATAATTTATTTACATAATTAAATTATACAATAGACCTAAAGAAAGGATCTGCATGTCTAGGTTCTACAAAATTCCTAAAAGCATGCCATGAATTCAAAAAATTGTGATAATTTCTTATCATAATAGTTAATCAAAAGAAGATTAGGAATTAGTCACTTTTCAAACACTAAAATTCTGTGTATCAGTGAAATAAAAATATAACCCTGGAAATTTGTAATGGCTAGATGTAACTCTGTTAAGCCCTGCTAGCACCACTTTGGACTAAAGACTTAACCAATGTATTTATTATCTGAAGTACCAACAACAGCATGCCAGCCTAAGATCTAAAACAATACCAAGACTACTTCTGGCCTAATGAAGAGGCTTTGGGGCTATAACTTGTTTCTGATTTTAATCCTTAACCTGTAAAACAGACTTATTTCAACAAAACTATAACAATAAGGGCAATTAGAAGATATTATATGAATACACTTTAAAACTAATTTAATGTTAAAAAAGAGTCATAAAAAAAGTAAACTCTTGCCTGACAGATAAGAAGTTACATGTTGTGACAGGAGGCAAAGATGTTAGAAGGAAAGACAACAAAGATGCTTGAGAATCAAAGTTAGGAGGACTATAAATGGAAGAGCTACTGTAAAACCAATAGAAGAACCAGAAAAGGCAGAACCATAGAATATCACCAAGAGAAATCCACCATTCTTTAGGTGATACATCATTAACAAGGACTCTGAGATAGCTAATGACTCAAACTGTCACCATCAAAAACATTTGCTAAACCACACGGTCATGACACTAGTTGGACCTAGGTTACAACAAATTAAAAAGAACCGTGTTATAAAATTGGAGTTACACAAATTTTATAACTACAACCTAACAGCTTAATGAATGAGGTCATCAAAACATTCACTTAATAGAAAACAAGGTTCAATGAGTTCCCACAGTTCCATTGGCAGAAAAGAATTGCAATCAATGACACATTATAAATTCCTGACTTCTTTACCTAAGCTTACCCAGTAGGCCTACAGAACTCACTGTATTTTCAGTAGAATACCTGCAAACCAATTGTTAACATTTCAGTTCTAGAATAATAAAACTGCAACAAGGATCTCCCAATGACATTCAGAAAAATGAACACACTCACTCTAATTTGATATGCAAACCTAATTAAAGGTCCAAGGTATGCAGAAGAAGAATACAAAACATGAGAGCATCATTTGCACTAAGGCAGACTATTATTTGGCAGACTATTTAAGGCAGACTATTATTTGATCATGCATTTATCTAGGAATGTTTTATAGCCTGAAAGTGACTGCGTTAACAGCATGGAAAGAAATGGGCATACAACTGCCTACTTATACCTAATGAACCATAAAGAATAATGTCTAATATTTGTTGTGCCCTTACTATGTCCTAGGCATAGTTAATCCTTACCACTATGCTATGAAGTAGATACTTTTAATACATTCACTTTACAAATGAGTAAACTCAGGTACAGAATGGTTAAATCACTTGCCTGAGACCATGTTAAGTGGCTGAGATACAAATCCTGTCTTTCTCTATTATAATTATTATAGAAATTATGTTTCATTATTACCATGTAAATCTACCACTGCTCTTTTTAAAGGTACTAAATCCATTTTAACATAACAAAACCCCCACAATAACTGAAAATAATAATTTTCATATAATTTACTTTTGAATTCTGGAAAATCCTTAAAGCAATTAATTTTTAGCATAAAAAATACAGAATCCTACTCTACTCTAAGACATTCATACCATATTTTAATCTAGATGACAGTTTGTCTCTAATGAATGACAGGGAACTATCAGACCTTCCACTAGCAATGCAGTAGATTGTTTTAAACTTTTAAATGAAAGCTCACCCAACTTCACATCATTTCATGTATAGTCAACTTAAACTTCTCCATTCTTAGAAAGGAACAGTATCACAAATAATCCAAAAACCATTTATAGTTGGCATTAAAATGTTTCAGAAATAAACAATGTGAATGTGATAAAGCAGAAAAAACTCCAGAATGGAGTCCAGAGACCTACCAACCAATCCTGGTTCCACCACCAACTAGCAATGTAGTTAGTTCCTTTAACTACTCTGGGCCTTGGTTTCCTGATCTACAAAATAATCATCTCCACAGTCTACTCTTCCAGCTCTAAAAGAAATGTGACTCATACACATACATCTTTTTTCCAAGCTTCCCATTTTCATTCTTAGTTATTACCATTACTTCACAGCCAGTAAGTGTTATTTTTCCTTAGTTCTACAAAAGGAGAAAACAATCCAATTTAAACAAAGGTGAGAGGGGAAAGCTTTCCCGATCACTCCCTTGCCATAAAAGATTCCCAAGGTGAATAAAGTAGAAGCCATTATAATGTTAAAAGGTGTTAGGTTTCAATATTTTAGGCTACTCTTTTGCATGCCAGTACATTCTCCCTGAGGACACATAATAGTAAAATTCAAGGACAATGGGGAGAAAAAATATATAATTATCCATTAGTTGTTCAAACTAAGAAGGTACCAACTGAAAATATTAACCTTTTTGCAGAAATGTTTTCTATGATAAAATGCAAAATGAAACCTACGAATTTTTCTAAAATATGTCTGAGTACTCCCCTAATCAAACAACTTTCATTTTGTAAACTTTAAGTACTCTGCAAATGTAAAAACCCAGTAACATACATGATTAAGAAAATTTAAAGATTAAAGATCTAGCTGTGCAATTCTTAGCTTACTCTATTCAGTGAAATGAAGAACCTCCACAGTGGTTCTCTGGATTGCCACAGCCTTTTCTATGTTCCCAACCTAAATGCAAGATTATTAAAATTAAACATCTGACACTAAGATTACCAACTGCTGGAAAACTCAACCTGATTTTAGTATTGCTTTCTAGAACTGCTAGCTTACCATCTTCTTCCCAAGGCAAATTTAAAGTTAAAATATTTTAAAACTTCTATAAAATTTGTAGGTCAATTTTGCATGATCTTGTAAAGAAACAAGAAAGCACGTGAATTATCAATCTTCTAGAATAAAAGTCAGTGGTAAATAATAGTACAGTCCAGTCTAAATGTTAAATTCGGAAGAAGTAAGCACTGCTATAGGTGGAGAGGTTGCTACAAGAATTTTAAGGTGCAGTTACGAAAATTCTCGGCAAAACGAAGTGATAAAACACCATCAAGCATATGCATACATTTTTAAGGAAAGGATAACTAACAAAATCCAGCAGCCAGGCACCTTTTGGTTAGAATGCCAAAAGAAAATGTCAAAACCTCCTGTGACCCCAATCTCCAAAGCCTTTCAAAGTTCACAACCAAACCAAGATGTACTTACACCGCTTTTTAGCTTCCTTCTTTAAATACAACTCCCTCTCCACGAAGTCACTCTGCTTCAGCTTCAGACCCCAGCACCAAAGAGTATCTGGAGCCCAAGCAGTTGCAGAAGGGTCTTCTTGCGCCCGCCTCCGCATCCCTTACCATCTCGAGTTAAACCTCCCTCGGTGCTTTCACTTCCCCATCCATGCTCCCCGGTTCCCTCTCTCATCTCCCAGTGGACCTTTACTCTTCAACCTTGAGGACCCCCAGATGCGGCCCTTGGAACCCCAAGTGACTTGGCCGGTGCCCCATTCCCTGAAGCCTACTAACTGGTTCAGTCTCCGGTGGCCACCCCCCGACTCACCATGACCTGGATCACAAATGCCCTCCTACTGTCCAGGGTCGACCCTCTTCCCCTTAGGTACTCCATGTTCCTCCAGCCAGAAAAGCAATCTCACAGAAAAGCACCTAGGAGCAAGCTCCCACTACGTGGGACGCGGTCTGCACGGGGCTCCGGGCCCGGGCTCGCCGTCCTCTTCCCGGCCAGCCCATCCCGGCCCGAGGGCCGGCGCTGCCTCAGCCGGGGTGCGGGGGCGACAGCGGGGGCGGACTGCGCCCAGCGCCCGCACCGGGACGCGGAGAGGCGGCCGCTAACGGCGGCGCGGGGGACAGGGAGCAGGCGGCGGGCCGGGCGCGACCGCGGGGACACTCACCGGTCCAGGCGCGCAGGGCGGCCTCATCCAGGGCACCTGCGGCCAGGCAGGACGGGCCCGGACAGCGCAGTCACCGACAGGGCTAGTCCGCCCGCCCTCTGGTGTGTCCCGTCCCCTCCGACTGCTCAGCGAGCGCAGCCTCGCTTCCTCCGGACGGAGCCCGGGGACCCCAGCTCCGCCGGATGCCCCCGCCAGGCCCCCACCCCCTTCCCGGGCCGCCTCCCCCTCTTCACACTCTTCCCCTCCCCCCTCCCCCCAACCCCCACCGGAATGGAAAATACCTCCCCGGGCGGGGGACTGGGAGCGGGCGGGGGCACGCCTCTCTGAAGAGCAGCCTACCGTGACCAATAGCAGGCGGGGTTTTGGAGGGGCGGGATTCCTAGCGGCCAATCCGGAGGCGTGTAGGTGAAGGCCGAAGGAGGGAGGTAGCGAGCAAGAGGTGGGCGGCCCGGGAGTCAGGGAGGTCGGGCCGCTCGGGTGCGCGCTATGCGCGGCTGCCATTTTGGAGTCGGGCAGCTGCGACGGCGGCCGGGTCCGGCCTGGGGAAAGGGAGGAGCCAGTCAGGTGGGAGAGAGGTAGTCACGTGGTCCTGAGGGGCGGGGTAAAGCGGGCTGTGGCCCGAGGGGAGGGGGCGGCGGCGACGAGTCAGGGTGGCTAGGGGAATCACGTGGTCGGAGAAGGGTCAGCGGTGGGTTTGGGGGTGGGAGGTCAGCCTGAGGTGGGAGAAGGGAGAAAGCTGTGTCCCGGGTTTCAACTCTTTTAGGGAGAAGGGGAGGGAAATGCTGAATGGAGGGCGTGAGTGCCGGGTAGGAAAATGTGAATGAGCCTCCCTGGCGCCCTTCAGCATAGAGCCACCCAGTTACCAAGTTCCAAGATCCACGGGAACTGAGAACCTCGTTTAATTCAAGTATTTCCATCCCCACTCCCAGCTGCCACAAAAAATGGCTCACAATTCTGAGGGAGGGTGTTCTGTCTTCCCACGTTTGGCCTGCGCTTTATATGGAAGGGCCCCCGCCTAGAAATGACTGAAAGGGTAGAGGAAGAGAAGCACAGTTCAAGGACGGTGACGCCTGCAGGGCTCTTTCCATCTGGCCTTTTAGAAACCTTGTCATTCACAAATTTACTGGTCACTTCGTAAGTGTTAAGCATCCCCATGATCGTGTTTCAGCGCCTCCAAACTTAAATAAAATAAATCAAAAACCTTGCCTGTGAGACACTGTCTAGATTTCATCCTTTATTTCAATTCATGTCTCATGTACAGGCTAAATTATTCTCCCTGTTAATCTGCTAATGCTCCTCTTAAGGTTACCAGTGACATCCATATGACCAAGTTCAAAGGTCACTTTTTACCTGATCTCTTGTGGACTTGAAGCTTTTCTCCTCCCCAATGCACCCCTTACCCCACTTTCCCTGTCACCATAACCCCTCAGATGGTCTTCTCTTCAGTTAATCTTTCTAAATCTGTTCTCTGTTTACTCTGAATAGAGTCCTGGGATCTGATCCTCAGTCCTCTTATTCAGGGACACCCAGTCATCCTGCTGCACACTAGGTAATCTAACCATTCTGATGGCCCAACAGCTGAATGTACATTTAATGAGGTCTAGCTCTGCATATACAAGTGCTTTTTGGACATCTGCGCTTGTATGACAGCCTGAAGCGTCCAGGTAGGAACTAATAAACCTGCCAAGGTCCACAAAACCTGCTCCTTCTCCTCTGTTCCTTACCTTCCTTGACAGTATCACCATCCACCCATTTGCCCAAGCCAGTAACTTAGGAGTGATTCTCCATTGCCACATCCTCGCTGCTCTGACATCTCTCCACCCCTTCTAACTTGATGTGTTGGTTATATTTACTAAATGCCCCCACCTCTTCATTTCTACTGCCACTGCCTCACTTGCATCATGTATCCATTGGGCCAATATTTACTGAGCACCTTACTCTGTACCAGGCATTGTTTGAGATGCTCAGGACACAGTGGTGAACAAAACTGTCAAGGTTCCTGAGTGAGGCGAGACAAATGGTATATGAGTAAGTTAGTAAATAAACAAGGTAATTCAGGAGGTGATAAGTGTTATGAAGGCAATAAAATATGGAAACGTATAAGAACCTCCTGAAGTTGTTGCTCAGCTCTTCACTGCAGTCCCTGCCGCTTCCTTCTCATCCTTTCTTCTTATTCTCCAAGAGGAGATTGCCCTGATCTTTTCCCATGGAGTACAGGACTTTCCTCCATCTTTATGTTTTTATATTACAGCTGCTTGACTACAAATCCCCCAACTAGCTGATACGCTATTTGAGGTCAGGGATCATATCTTATACATCGTTGTACCCCCACAGTGCCTTGGCTTACAGTAGGTGCTCACAAAATGAGTGTCAAATGAATTGGTGGGTCGACTGATATCTGAAACAGGCTACCACAAAAGCATCTCCAGCCCAAATTAGAATGGGAAGGTGGGTGAACACACCCATTTGAGTGTAGTGGCAGTGGTGCCTCTAGGCAAGGGACAGAATTATGAATGAGATCACTTTTTTTGGTCCCTTTCCGCCCTAGGATTCCATAATGCTCTGTCCCATGCATGGCAATAGTTGCTTCATAAATATTACTTTTCTTGACAGTGCCAAGTACATGTGGGCAATTTAAAAGTACTCTTTGTTTCTGACGATGAGCTTCAAACCCAGAGAACTCTGGGTGAATGGCCAGGATAGGCCCTGCAGGAGAAGATTGCAGTTGCCACTTCACTTTGTATTTCCAGGCCCTTGGGTATTGCACCCCAACAAGGAGTGAGATGATGCCAGTTCCGTCATAGTCATTGTAATTAAATCCAAGTTCTGGCAAAGGGCAGTACATAATTATGAAGTGTTATTATGGTTTTTATCATTATTAGGCACCAAGCTGCCCAGCCCTGGAAACCACAGTAGTAAAACAGTGAGAAGCCAAGCTCCTCTCCCAGCTGGCATGAATCAATACCAGGTGTATTGGCACATCGTCTTGCAGCTCCACATTCATCAAGATGAGACCTCTGTCCCCTCTCCTTGGCAAAAGAAAATTGTAAATGGATGGAAAGAGGAAATATGAAGAAAGACCTTTGCCACCTCTTCTGAATCAAATTTCTTTTTTTTCCTCTTCTGAGAACATTCTCTTCTCATCTACCTATTTATTGAATAAATCTTTTTCAACTTTATCCTTGGCCGGCTAGCTTCCTAAACATCATTCCACAATGTCTTCTGAGGATATATAGCATTGTATTAGTTAGGGTGAGAATACAAAGCACAAGGAAGAGTGCTTTTACTTTCAAGAAACTTTTAGACTAAATAATTCAGAAAGGATAGTCAGAATTGACAAGAAACCTGCCATTTATTAAGCACTTACTCAATGCCACACTTGACATTTCCACATATGCTCTCTGACTCAATTCATACCATCCTGCAAGGTAGGTTTCATTATCCCCATTTTCTTCAAGGTCACAAAGACTTAGCAAATGACAGAGCTGAGATTCCAACATAAATATATAAATTCAGTAATTGTGTACTCATGGTGCATTTGTCCCTACTTGTAGCTGAAGATAAGTATCAGATTTCACCTCTTTCTGTCAAATTAAAATGGTTTCTTGTACAGAGTAGATTTTAAGCTGAGCACTGAAAGGACAATTCAGAAGAGATGCTGTGGGAATTGTGCCAAATGAGGAGGCCAAATTGGCCATAAGCCTAAAATCAATCAATAAGGAAAGATTTCTTGTTCAGCAATGAGTCATATCATATTCTTCAAGTACCTTTATTGTCTCAGCTACTCCAAATGGGGAAGTCAGCTCGTGTGGTACTGGGTTGGAAGGCATGGGCTGAAGAAGGATGTGGTGAGGATGGAAATGGGTGGTTTGAGGGGGGAATAACTCTTTGAATGGCAGACTCCCCAAATGGCCAATAAACTGGAACATCTACCAGTGGCTTCTGAAACAACTAAAACTGTGGGAGTTTTTCTGCTGCCAATCATTTGTTTTTAACTGATGTGTGTAGAACAATTCCCCACTTTCTTCTGTTTTCTAAAACAATTGATTAACAATTTTTTAACTGTTTAGTACTTACTATGCTATACAAGGCAGTTTGCTTCTACTATTTCTAGTGGAATATTTTTAAGGGATTTAAGATTCAATAAAATATACTCATTTTGAGTGTACCAGTTTGATCTGTTTTGAGACATATATACCCTGTAACCACTACCATAATCAAGAAATAGAACAGGTCTAGCACCCCAAAAAGGTTTTCTTGTGTCCTTTTGCAGTAGAAATTTTAATACAACTTGTATTTTAATGACTCTAAAATCTAAATCCCCAGCTTCCACCTTGCGTTCAAAGTCTTGACCCACGTTTTTAGCTACCAGCTTGACATATCTACCTGGATGTTACAAACGGGTATCTCAAACCAAACACGACTAATGGCAAATATTTTATCTTAACTACAAGAAAACTCCCATCTCTCACCTACATTTCCTTCTCAAACCACTTTTTCTGTTCTAATTCGATTGAGGTAATCATCTACCAAATTTTCTAAAATAATCTTTTCTCCTCCCTCTCTTCCACCGCTCAAGGTCGATAAGTGATTCTGACTCACACATACATTTTTAAATGGCTCCTTTCCATTTTCACTATTCTCATTCAGACACTTATCTCGCTTGCGTGATTGCAAAAAACTCTTAACTTGTTTCTTCATGCTCCGGTTCATCCACCAATCTGCCACACTAATTTTCTTTTGAAAGCCCAGGTCTGACTGTTCCAGTCTCATGGTTTCATGGACTGCCCAGCTGCATATGAAATGGCACTGAAAATCTTTCACAAGATTGCCTCAACCACCCCCTCTGGACTTCTCTGCTCGTCACTACATAGAGTATACTGTTCATTCTCATCTTTCTGTGACTTACATCAAATCTTTGCCTGCAATGTGCCTCCTCCTGCACCTGAAAACTCTTCATGTTTCACAGCCCCATTTAAATGACTTTCCCTTGGTGAAGCCTTCCCATACCTCTCCAATAAAAATAGTCCTCCTCTCTGTTGCGCCGAACCTCCAATGGCATGTTGCACATACATTAATCACACTAAATAGACAGGGTAGTGAAACATAACAGGAGAGCTGAGTCAGAAGATCTGAGTTTAAATGAAAAATCTCATTCATCATTCACTGTGTCATCCAAGGCAATTCACATAACCTCTCTGAGCCTTGATTATTTCACTTATAAAATTGTGATTAAAAACAACTATAATAATACCCTACCTCATAGGACTCTAGTGATCAGATGAAGTAATTATAAATGTGAACGTGATTTGTACTATGTAGATATTAGATATTGTGATTACAAATCTATTTCCTGATAGACTTTGAGGGCCCTGAGTAAAAAACCAATGTCTGACCATCTTTATATGCCTTCTACCTAATATAGTGGTTGGGCCTGCCTGTTCCATAGATTAGTTTATGACATAAGTTTCCATTTTTTTGTAGAGTCATATTATCCCAATTATTCCCTCAATTAACTCTCTTAGCCTACTTTCTATAAGGTTTCTTCAAAAGCCAATCATGACATTATCATTTCTTTTTATAATTGTTTATTACCTTTATAATTAGTCACATAAAAAGTCTCTGAAGAAATGAAATAAATATTCTATCCATGTTTAATTTTAAAGGCCTTTATTTGCTCAACAAAAACTTTTTAGAGCCATTATGCACCCAGCCCTGTCGTAGGCACTGGGCATACGGAGATGAACAAAAGACTTCATAAAACTTACATTGATGGTAGGAGACAATAAGCACAAACCAACAAATAAAGATTTTAATCTATATAGTCAGTGGTGCTACAAATAGAATAGAACAATGATGTAACTGGAGTGGTCATGGAACCCACACTGAGGTCATGTTTTTGAGCATTGATGATTAGAAGGAGACAACCATACAAAAATAAGGGAAGGGCATTTCAGGCAAAAGGAAGCAAACAGAGACCCTGAGACAGAAGCAGGCAAAGCAGATGTGCATGGCAGGGAGGTCTGTGTGGCATGACGGAAGTGAGAATGGTCGTAGGAGTTGAAATCAAAGAAGTAGATTGAGGGGATAGATCATACAGGGCTTTGAAGGTCAGGGTAGAGTTTGAATTTTATTCTAATTATAATAGGAAGCCATTGAAGCAGGATGCAATATGATTTAATTTCACCCCAGCTGCATATGGAGAATGCATTCCAGGGGCAGTGACGGAGGATCAGACGGCAGTGGCTCAGACTACAGATGTTAGTGGTCTGGATTAGGGTGGTAGTGCTGAAGATAGTGATGAGAAGTCAGTGTTAAGGTATATTTTGAAGGTAGAATGAAAAGATCTTACTGACTGATTTTTAATGGGGTGAATGAGGGAAAGACATTAAATATAACTCTTGGGATTTGGGCCTAAGTAGTGAGGTGGATGAAAGTTCGGTTTATTGAGTGCCAATTCTGTGCCAGACACCGTGCTAGGCTCTGAAAATACAAAACTCAATGGATAAGACTCCTTGCCCTCAAAAACCTCACAGTCTAGTGGGAAAGACTGCTTCCTTCCCCGGTAATTCCCATGGAATGTTTTAAGCACGAAGAAAGCTATGCACTGGTTACAATGAGAGCACCAAGAAGGAACCCCTAGCCCAATCCAGACAAGGTGCTCAGCAAGTGAAAATGAGAATCAGTGTGGTCTGGGCCTCTGCTGTAGCCCCTAACTTAAACCCTACCAACGGTAGGGTTGAGGGTGTGTTCAGGTTTTTCATTGTTATTTTAATAATAGCTAAACTTTTATGAAATTACCATATGACTCCAGAATGACCTCTCTCAAGATTTTTTCTTTTTAGTAGTTATTTACTTATATTTAACTAAGCTTATATACTTGCATGTTTCACAAATCAAAACTAAATACACTAGTTCCCCCTTGTCCATGGTTTCTGTTACCTGTGGTCAACCAAGGTCTGAAAATATTCAACGGAAAATTCCAGAAATAATTCATAAGTTTTAAATTGTGAAATCTCCTGCCATCCTGCTCCTTCCCTCTTGGGACATGAATCATCCCCTTGTCCAACACAGCCTACCCTCCCATTTGTCACTGAGTAGCCCTCTGGGTTATTAGATCGATCGTCACCATATCACAGTGCTCATGTTCAAGGAACCCATATTTTATTTACTTAATAATGACCCCAAAGGACAAAAGTAGTGATGCTGGCAATTCGGATATGCCAAAAAGAAGCCAGAAAGTGGTTTCTTTAAGTGAAAAGGTGAGAGTTCTAAAGGAAATTTAAAAAATCATATAATGAGGTTGCTAAGATCTACAGTATGATATTTTGAGAGAGACCACATTCTACATAACTTTTATTACAGTATATTGTTATGATTGTTCTATTTTATTGTTAGTCTTTGTTGCTAATCTCTTACTTTGCCTAATTTATAAATTAAACCTTGTCATAAGTGTGTATGTATAGAAAAAAACACAGTCTGTATAGGGTTCAGTGCCATCTGCAGTTTTGGGCATCCACTGGGGGTCTTGGAACATATGCCTCAAGGATGGGGGGAACTGCCACAAAAGTTGGAGTAAGATGTCTCTCTCCCACCCTACCTCTTCCATCGAGGTCTCCCCCAAACTCACCCTTATACGTAGAGAGAGCTATTTATATTGGTTTCTCTATGTATCCTTCCAGTGTTTTTCATGCAAGCACAAGAAATTCTTATATTCTCTTCCCCTTTCTTACACAGAGGTGACATATTGTATCCCCTGATCTGCATCTTGCTTTTTCTTCTAACAATATACCTTGGAGATCTTTTGTATCAGTACAAAGAGATCTCATTCTTTCAACAGCTGCATAGCCTTACACTACAGGATATGCCATAGTTCATTTAAATATTCCTCTACTGATGGGCAGTTAGGTTGTTTCCATTCTTTGCTGTTCATTACAAATGATGCTGTAATGAATAACCTGGCATATATGTATGCAAGTATATCGTTACAATAAATTCCCAGAAGTCTCCAAAACTTTAATAAATTTCAATAAAATCTTCTAACGGAATGTTCTAAAATGGTGTGACTCCAAATTAGAGCTCCACTTTTCAAGGATTAACAGGATTAACTTTCATATTCGATTAATAGTAGCTCATTCTGTGGCCTGCAAATTACATCTCTGTATTTCTTCCAATAAGG